ACGTGCGAGGCGATGCGGGGGTGGTTAGCGGGTGGCGTGCGCGAAACGTGTGCCGGCTAATTGTGAATAGGACGCGCGAGCGGGACAGCATAAATTTGATCAAACTGACGCTTTTAGTGGGATTACCAATAATCCTGTGCAATATTCATTGTTCCCTCCCCTCCCAGTACCGCACCATCATAAACACGTAGGGCTATTCGCGTATCCTGCTCGTGCTAAACTCATTAATATATATACACACACACACACACAAACATAAACGATTTAAGTGAGTGTAGGGTAATTAAATTTTTTTTTTCAAATTACCGATAGTGTGTCGACTAATTTTGAATTTAATTAACCATGTACCTAAATATACGCTCGTGCAATAGAGATATAAAAATAAAATAAATAAATAAAAACGTCAATATCCTCTGGCCCTTTGCATTCCATTCGGTCGTTGCAAGTCTGTTACTCTGCCACCGATAACACAAATGAAATAATTTCCATAGCATTGATAAATTTCCTTTCAGTGTATATCCAAAATCATCTTTAAAATAGTATTAAAGCATTTATGCTATTTCTGTGTAATACTGTGTATATAGAAACATAGGTACATATATGTATTATGTATATACATTATAGTGCTGCGAGGAAAACACTTAAACAAATTGGCCAAGTTTTCCGAGTATTTTGTTTGGCCTCAATTACTTTTATTACGTAAAACCTTAATATAATGTATTTTGAAAAATGAGTTTTTATTTTATCACCATCAATCATAGGCTATATTAAAAGTTAGAGGTGATGGATGATTTATCGTAGAAAATTTGGTTCTATTTTGATCTAATTACTATTTTTTTTTCTACACCCGAGTTGTGTTATTATTTTTACACATAGTTTATTATCAATATCTGTATCCAGCCAAAGTCAGTGTTAATTTTCCCTTTTAAACTGACCATTTTGATTATTTACAAATGTTACGATTTATGTTTCAATTCACTAACCTCACTAAAAAAAATTAACTTGCAATCCAGTGCATTGGTTTAGTTATAGACACGGTGAATGTAATAATTGTATTTTCAAAAACCTCAAACTTTTTAATCACAAAATTTAATACTATAAGAAAAATAATAAATATTGTATTAATAGACACTATTAATGTCAATAAAAATAAACACGCATTTTTTCAATATTTGATTGGTAATATATATTGTACCAATAATACCTATACATACATACAGTTATCCACTGTAGGTACACATTAGTACACGTCTTATACGTACATACACATGTACATACGTTCATGTATAGTGTATACATAACGAATTCCGCCCTTTTTGCATAGTCGGTACCTAACGGCGTTTCCGTCGCTAATTTCCGGTTTTCCCCAGTTAGTTCCGACTAGCTCCTATTCCATTTCCTCTTTTTTTTTTTAAATCCCATATTAATATAAAGGTTACATCAGATCGATGAGCCTTGAACAGAATTAATAGCAGTCAGCGAAATTTAAACATCACAACGGCCAATGCGTACATCACTATAAAATTCATTAAAAAAATGAGTTAGTGGATGGCGAAGCAGTGAGGGAAATCCAATTCCATTATTATTATTTTTTTAAATTAATCGAGGAAACCCGGCGCCATTGCTGTTGAACACCTAACACGACTATGTAATGTTTAATTATAAACATTTCATTAACTTTTAAAAACCTAATGGCTTTTTTCGGATTGTTCAAAATCGACGGGTTGGTGGTTGTGAAGGGAGAGTAGCCGCGGTATGTCGACAGTGGCGGTGCTTTCATCAAAATTATTACTGTGCTTTAGGGAGTCCGTTTTTTTTTCTGTTATTCATTAAACGAATGATACATCAATTTTATTCATTGTGCTGTTTGTTTGTTCAGTAATTTTCAAAATTAAACAACCGACAACCTATACTATATCTATATCTATATGCGCGCCTGCACCAAATATTCTCGGGCCAGAAACGGGAAAATTGGTTTCTTAAATGCTAAACTAATTCAATTTAATTTCTTGATTGCTGTTGGTTAGGCCCGATTGTTATATGGTGGATTGCTAGTGATTTATTCAAACCTAACCCGTATATACGTGATTTTGACACGATAATTAGGAGTCATTTATGGAAGTCTGCATTTTCAAACAGATTTAATTCAATTCAAATGCCTATACACATCCATATACGACGGCGCTTGTTAATTGAAATATTTGTTCCGTCATTTTCTAACTTATTTGCAATCTCACGTTCCGTTTAATTATTTCCCGCAATTTCCTTTTGCGTTACGCATAAAACGCGCAGACGAATTTTAACTTTATTCTATACCATCTGTTTACCATTTTCAAGCAGTGGACGGTTGGCTATTGTGTTCCTAAAAAATAAAAAAGAATTAATAAATAAAAACCCATTAGACTAATTTAGTGAACCCGGATGTTAATGACGATGCATATTTATTTTTTTGTATTTATAAATACGCCTAAATCGGAAACGAACTCATTTATCACAAGTAGTATATTTACAATGAAACTATTTTAATGTATCCACATAATAAAAATGAATACTACTCCATTCTGCAAAGATTTTTGGTGCCTATTAAAAAATTTAAAAACATTAAAGTTTATTCTATAGTATCCTATGCTTTTTTTAGAATTGAGATAATTAATTAAATCACGAAGATTGAAAACATAATGCAAACACGATCGTTAACAACAAAAAAATAATAATAACAATAAATACCATTTACAAATATTTATTTTTCAAATTTAACTTTGTTCTAAATTCAATTCAATTAAACTACCCACCGAACGTTTAAGTGGTTTTTTTTATAAATAAGTTCGAAGTAATTTAACCTTTTCAACAATTTTACTTTTATAGGATCTAAGTAATTACATTTTATAAATCCTACCGCATAACAATCAAAACTTAGTTCTCATTACATTAAGAGTTTTTTTTAGTTTTTGGTAACTGGCAAGATCCATTAAATAAAAACCGTAGATTAAATTTAAAAAATGAAATACTCCATATTGTACGATGTATATAGAACGTTTTCGTTTCATTTTAAGTTAAAACCAAGTAGGTACTATATTTAATAGTTTATCACGATCAATATTATAGAATATATTTTTTAAATAAAGTAAAGGTGAAAATATCTATCCTGACAAATTTGATTAAGACATTTCTTATCAAAATGATTTTATAATAAATATTCAAAAGCCTTAAAGCACTTTTACTTAAATAAACAAAATGATTTGGAGTTCTATAAACAATATTATTTTTTCCTCTGTTAATTCACTGTCAGTCTTAATTTCAAAAAAAGTTCAGGAAAAAAATCTTATCAGTTGAACAAAATATAAAATTTGAATACAATCAATTGAAATTGAATACAAATCATTCTGTTCATGTGCTATATAGGTATATAGTTTAAAATATATATGCCTACTAGAATGATGTGTTTGATAATGTAAAGAAGGAAGAAAAAAGGTCGAAAATTGAAAATTCACATAGGATTCACATATTGTTGGCGGTAGAAGGATGATGAGGGGTACGGCGTTTTATATAAATTCTTTACTGATTGAGACGAAGCGGGTAAAAAACACGTTTCTCAAAGGACGACCTAATTGTGACGATTGCCTATCGGCCGCCACCACGGACGACAATGAACCGTAATGAAACGATTGCCCTTCGCTTCCACCGAAAAGGGACTGTTGATTGGGTTCAGGAGACCGTGGATAAACCATCAGCTGTAGTACTCTATCCTTCTACTCATCCCCTCGCAATGGTCACCCATCTATAGATTTTTATTTTTATTATTATAGTCGTCGTCGTCGTCGTCGATGTTGTTGTTGTTGTTGTCGTCATCATTACATATTATTATATGATATACAAGTACAACTATCGAATGTGTTTCGAACCAGTGTTATACAGATATCGCACTCATGAGTGTATGCGTACGGTGAATATTATTATAACAACCAACGAGGGATGGGGGTCGAATCAATCGCAAAGGGAGCTTGCACCAAACAGACCGTGAAAAGGTTTTCTTTCATTAGTCGTTCCTAAAAATCGGGGTTTTTTTTTTTTCTATAAACGTATTTACACACACGCGTACCAATACCTATATGTAATATCTACATACCAGATGTACGAACCAGTGTATGATTTCTATACATATAACAGTGTGGATAAGTTTTGAAGAAAAAAATATTTTTGAATTTTTTTCCTGGTGCATACAACTAGTGTAGCGGTATTGGTAGTGAAGAGCACGCGCATACGTGATTATAATGCGGTTAGGTTTTATGTAAAGGCAAATGAAGCAAACGAGTGTTCAGTTCGCAATCAGCGGTGGTGCGAGGGATGGTCGAGGAAATACCGACGCCCGTCGGTGGTGGTGAATTGGAGTTGATTGAGTGTACCATCGAGACGTGCCTTTTTGTTGAAATAAAATGCGTTCATTATATTGCTTACACACACGCGCGCGCGCGCTTGCGCAGACTGGCACACGAACGTATGGGGGAAAAATTGCTGCCGGGAAGGAGAAATAATATTGGTCTTTTTTACTTTTTTTTACGTCAGCGAAACAGGTGGACAATTTAACCTTAATACGAGTTCTGCATAGGGAATTACTGTAAAAACTTCTTTTTTTTAGCCCCAGGATTTCTTTGATTATTTAGAAGTCGGGAAAAAGAACTTCGTGATTATCGGCACGTTCTCGACAAAACGTTAAAAAAAAAAATAAATCCTGAGATTTAACACGACATTTTAATAATAATATATTCTGTTGATAGAGAATTGGTTCACGTGTGAATATATAGTGCATACATTTAGGTATACTTCCTAGTCTACTATACGTGTTTTTTCTATCGTCTTATAATGATAGACGCTGTAAAACTGCTTTACATTTATAAGGAATCAATATAATAATATACAAATATACAATGATTTATGATTTTTTTTTTTCCATTATTACTGTACGTCGTGGCTAACAGTTGGTATATTTTTAATCATTTCAGATGGACTGTTACAGCAATGGACGCCTGGGATGGATGTCCGTAGAAAAAGCACTGTTGTAAACTGTCCGACTGATACGACGATGTTGAACATTGTAGAAAACGGTAAGTCACACGTAAATATTAAAAATCAAACCCCGCCCCAGTTGAGCAGTTATATTATTATATACCTACGTATATTTATTGTGTGTACAATGTACATATCATATATATATAGTAGCAATATAGTGTTGTTGCAGTGTAGTATTATAGTCGCGTGTCACTCGTAAAGAAAGAAAATGGAACATTTCTGTTCCATAATGCATCCGACGTTAGGAATACGGGTGTTAAATAAATCGTGCGCGACGAAGAGTAGAAAATGCGCGGAAATGAAAACCGACCGTTTTGATCCTAGAGAAGGAGATGAAGAAAAAACGACGGGTTATTCCTTAGGCGACCATTTTCCAAATTGAATATGTGTGTAACAATACATAACCCTTTGTTTTGCGCCCGTACATGTATACGCGAATTCCCGATCGGAACCCGACCCCTCTCACCGCCATACCAAACCCTCGGAGTCGTCCAAATAAATACGTATATATACATGCTATATAATATGCTCTCTCCAAAGTTTTTTTCCACCGCCGTTGTAGTTCTCCTCTTATTTTTCTCCCCCCACTCTTGGATTTACAACCTACGGGATTTCGGATACACCTATTTAGTGTTCCGGCTACGAAATTATTAGTTACACTTCGTGTCGACGGTCTTAGGGGAGAATAGACGGCATATATATATGATCCACAATAACATAAACATACACGTGTAATTTATACAATAATACGAGTTATAACCAATATACAATATACTGTACTATATTAGTATAACTATAAATAATTATAACACTATATTATACTATTGCAGCTTATGTCCAATATATATTACTATATTATAATTATATGTATAATTTTATATATAGCGTTACGCGTGTGTAGTGTATTAGAAAAATGTCTCTCATCTGTCAAAACCAAAAGTCGTCTCCGTTCCAAACGCGTCTGTAAACCGACGGCGTCCGGCCCCTGCAATATGAACGAATATTGAAAATCCCTCAATATTAAATTGACTCTGTGAGAAACGGTTATATCCGCCGCGTTCCGTACACATTTAATATTCTCCAATCTTCCGGACGACGGCGACGACGATATACGCGCGTTCCTTCTGGTCCTAAAGGTCTCCTTATATATATAAATATATATTATGTAATACATATGAGAGGAGTAGTACAGTATTATAATATTATAGAAACGTGTGCATGAGCAGCTGGGTAGAGGTCCCGCACAATCCATCTAAAAGTCATTTCTGGATATTTATATTTTTTTTTTTTTTACAATAATAATAAATATTGAGAGAAAAATAGCTCTCTGTTGTTTATGTTTTATTGAAAAAATATAAACATTTATTTATAAATCCTTAAACCAAAGAATGTTTCTTCGATAATAAATGTCTACGTCGGTCGGAAAATGCGTTTGATTCCCACGGAATATCAATGGATACATACTTATTAAATAGATCTAACAAAGAGAACTGCGTATGTGAACGGTTTATAATGTGTATATAAACGGCATCGTATGAATAGAGAATAGTGCTTGCTTGACTACCGATTATATGTAGTGTGTGTGCATTTATAAAATACATTGTAACTAATGCTTTATGGAGTTATCTGTTTCGGGGACGTATGAAAGACGAAAGAACCATACATTTTCTTGTACTTTTATTTTTGACAAAAAAAAAAAACAAAAAAAAAAAAACAACATAATAACCATGTTGTAATAGTGTGGCTATGTTATAGTATTACAACTAAGCGAGGTTACATGACAAAAATTAGATCTGTTATAATTTTTCTGAACAATACCTATCGCATTAGCATACAAATATGATTCTGTGACGTACCTAAACGATTAATTTTGAAATGTTAAATATATTTATTAAGAATTAATTTTTTTCTCATTGCGTAGAGAGATTTAAGTGTATTATTTAACTGTAAGTTTGATCTTTTGAATCTCTTTTTTCTGTTAACACTTTTTGTTTGTATTTTCTTTTGTTGACGTTACGCATAGAATTTTTATTTTCAATAGCCGTTTTATATCTAAGCTGTCATCGTATTTCGACACACTAAAAATACGTGTCGTTAAAAATAATTTGTGTTGTTAATCAAGAATTATTTTCAAAATAATTAAAAGCCTTTGTGATGAAATGTTTTTACCATCGTGTACACTTAAATATAGTAACTGTTATTTGTATCAGAGTTCATGAAAGTATCTGTTTCCATTGGTAATATTTGATTGTTTAAATAAAATGAATACGTCAGAGTAAAATACGATCAAAAACGATTAATGTATTATAGGTTCTGATGTGTTTTCGAAGACACACAATATATTTTATTCCGTTTATTAATATAGCTACACCGGGAATCGAATAGTTTTCTCGAGTTAACCAAACAGACGACAGCCAAACCAATTTATCCTTATGTGTGTATATATTATATACTCCTCCGGGGTCTGCGTGCGTCGAACAATATTTACTCGTCTTTCTTACATGCCACCCCGTTAATCATGTGCGCCCGTTTGTACATTTTCGCAAGTAAACGTTGATAAAGATGAAAAGATATTTGTTCAGGATTATTTGGATTGATGAAATGATATAAATATATATGTGTGTATGTATGTATGTATGTATTAATAATAATATATTGGCTTGTGGGGATGTGGTAACAACTTTTTTAATAGATCTATAAACGCGATGACCTCGATCGCCGTCGGCGTCTTTTATTCGATGGTTCTATGAAAATTCGAAATTTCCACATACGTAAAACTGAATAAACCATAAAATCGTTTTTCAAAATGATCAAACAGATATGTGTGTGCGAATATATGAATACATAGATTGTGTACGTATATTATTTGTTTTTAGTTCACGTAAACGTGTAATTTAATACATCTTTTGCAGTCCAAGTATTAATCTTATATTTAAAATAATTATAAAAAAAAAAAAACGAAAACATTACTGGAATATTTGCGTTTCGACACGTAGCCAACAATACTGCGTGGATTCAGGGGGAATTTTCGAGGACGCGCGACCAATTCAATTTTCTATTCATGGTGCGATGCACAGTCTAGTGGAAATAAATCGATCTCGCTAAGTTAATAATAATCCGGCAACAACACGCGTCCATTTTTATATACGGCCGTAATGCTATTACGTTATTATAGCCTACGGGCGATGTTTAAATCGATGCGCGAGCATTAGAAGGCAATAAGCGGAATTGAACACAGTGTGCCACTCACTCGGACCCTTATATTATATAGATACGTATATGTATCGAATCATCCTTAGGGATATGTCCGTTTTCTGCAAACTTCTACTGTTTTCTTTGGGAGTTTTTTTTTTTTTTTTGAAAAATTGAGTTTTTAGAAAGCGGATGACACCCCGGGGAATCCCCGGTTGAATGGATTATAGGCAGGACGAAGAAGGTCGGGCGTTCCTCCCTGCTCTAAATGGACAGCGTGCCCGGACACACCTTCCGAATGACAAATAACCTTATAAATGTCGACCCACAAAACGTTTTTCCGTGTAAAGGCTGACTTCGGCTATTATGCTCGTAAGTCATAATGTTTTTGTTTCGTCTCATGTTGTGGTAGATTTCCGATCTCGTGAATATATATATGTTTGGTAAACGCCTGTTACAGCACATAGCTACTCTAGGGGGGCAAAGAATAGGACCTAAACGGGAGACAGTGCCCAAAAAAACGTTAGACCCCAAGGAATTTATAAACTATTGTTGTTTTTTGACAAATAGCCAACTCAACTTTGCCAAACATTGTGTAATATCAACCAATCATTGTCAACCTATACTCACAACATTTCATTGTCTAAGACATAAACTCGATTAAACCACAAAGTAAGTATAGTACGAATGGTCTGAATCTAACAGCGATGCACTTCATCTTATTACGACAAGTTATTAAGACGTATAACGTATTTATACATCAATCGAAGCTGTCAAATATACCTATGTAATAAGTATTATAATTTATAAAATTAATAACTTGTATTATCGAACAATCGGAAAGTTAAAGTTTTTTTATCAATATATTACATTAGAATATAGCTGATATGTATACGAAAACTTTATTTAAATTAATACGCGTACAATGCATTAGCTTAGTAATGTTCCTTGATAACATCAACCTGTAATAAATTCAGATTAACGTTAATTAAATGTATCAAATTGTGAAATGTGAACAAAACAAACTTAATATGCTGTAAAATTATTAATCTTTCATTGTACTCTTGTATATACAACGGTTGAATTGAAGGTATTATTCAATCATTACCTCTGCAGTGAAAGCGAACCTATAATGTTAATTGTTATAGTAATTATAAATTAAATTGTTTTAAACTTGCGTTTCGATTCTGACCATTGTTTTACCCTTCTTTATTGTATAGCGCACAATCAGGAATTTTAAAAGATATACAAATTATTAATATTATAAAAGCTGAAATATTAAAAATTTGAATTCAACCATATATATCTACTTAAGAATTTAAACACTGCAAATTGTTATTATTAGCATAAGTAGTGCCCAGTATTTGCTTCCGTCACTAACTATATGCACATCAAAATTAAAACTCAAATCATATATTTATCTATAAATTATTGACTATAATATAATAGCATATACTTATATCTATATATCTCGTAAAGCGTTCGTAATTAATATAGCTACGACTAATTTAGCAAATGCTATAGAATATCATATTATTATTATTATTATTATTTAGCATTGTGCTGTGCCATGTGTTTTGAAGACGCTAATTTACTCGTCCAAGAAAATTCATTAACGGACAAAAACGGCTCAGGCCTGTTTATTGTGGAATTAATTACTTGCATATTAAGCAACGAAGTTCTCTGAGTTTGTTTGATTGTTAGCCTGTGTATATGTATGTGTGTGCGGCGTGCGCGCGTGTGTGTGTATCTCTCTCTCTTTCACTCTCTCATTCCATCTCCTCCTCGTCCCTTTCTCTGTCACTCAACTCCCTTATACAACGCACGCGATCTCTCCCCCCAT